TCAGCCAGTCTGAAATCCCCAGCACCAAAAGAACATACAGCAATCTGCTTCCACAGGGACCAATCTGTGAATGGTAACAACCACATGGAAAATAGAAGTGTTTTCTTTTAAGAAAGATGTAAGAACCTCTCTTAGGAGCAAGAGTTTTTTTACCCTTTGCCCTAAGGAGCAAGGCTTGGCAGGTAACTGCTCAACCCATGGTTGCTCTCGGAAATTCTCAGATTTCTTCTGAGGCTAAAAGTGCTTGTTCAGGCTTTATTTAGATTTGTAACTTTCGGCCTGGCTTCCTATGGTGGTCTTTACTTGGAACCATTACGGAGCACTCATTTTGCAGTACTTTGCATCTACCTTAGTAGCCTATTTTTCATTAGAGTACCATAAAGTGGTACCTTACTGTTCATTCAGTGTTAATGTGCTTGACACAGTTGGCACAGAGGGGCACTGCATCACTGTATAAGTTTGAGGCTTAAGAGGTTTGCTGCATCAGTGCCAGAAGACCTAGATTCTAGTTTTATTGCTAGAGATTCATGGGTCAACCATGCTTGGAAAGTCATTTAATTTCTCTGTACCTTAGAACTGAGAGTTGCTGGAAATTATAGTGTTTTAGGAGGGGAAGGGTAGTTAGGTTGCAACGAGGAAGAATTTCTATATAAATATTTTGGGTAAATTGTCTAAAGAGATCTCAAAAGAAAGGGAACTAACCTTTAAGATTCCAGTAATTTGCTGTGATTTGTTTCTCATTCTAAAAATTTTTTGCTAACTTTGTATTCTTTTTCTTAAAAAGGGTTGTCAAATTGTATTAGCTCTAGTAACCACAAAACTCAAATTCTCCCTATTCCTAACATGAATGTGCACTCTAGCCAAGGCAGTCTTTTCTTTGCCAGTGAAGCTGCTGTGCCTTTTCTTAAACTGTTCCCTCTACATGAGGAGATGGGGTGAGGATGTGGTAGGATAGAAGGAACAGTGAGTGTAATGATTCAGACAGGAAAGAGCTTGTTCACATAACTAAACTGAAGCCAGTGTGGTGATGGTACATGAAAGTAAAGAGAGAATGGTGTCAGCTGAGGCAGGGGCCAGGTGGACCATAGAAAAGAACTTGGATGTTATTCTAGCCACTGAAGCTGGAGAGTGATTCAGATATAGCTAAAATATAAAAAGATCATTCTGGCAGGACAAGAGTAAAATCAGGGAGACCAATTGTACTGGTATAGCTGTCTGGGTAAGAAAAACTGGTGGCTTGGATTAGGATGGCAAAATAGAGATGGAAGGAAATGGTCAGATTGGTATATATTATGCAGGTAGAGATGACAGGGCTTGTGGATAAATTATACTGGATCTGATAGGAATGAAGAAAATAAGGAAGTCAAGGATAATCCCCAGGTTTGAGCAACTGGGAAGACAGGGTACTATTTGCTGACCGGAAGATGACTATTAGAATGACAATTTAGATATGGTGAGACTGAGAAGCCTGTGATACTTACTCCAAGGAGGTCAAGTAGGTCTCTTGCTATCCAGAGTCTGCATGAGAGATTTATGCTGAAAATATAACTTTGGGAGTCATAAGCATGTAGATGGCTTTCAAAACTATGGGAATGGATAAGAACACATAAGAAGAGAGTAGAGAGAGAAAAAGAGAAGAGGATCTAAGATGGGATCACAGAGAACTCCAACATTTAATGATCAAGTAGAGGAGGAGGAATATGCAAAACAGAGAAAAAGCAGCCAGAAAGAAGAAAGCCAGGAGAGGGTAGTACTATGGAAGCCAAGAAAGCAGAATGTTTCAAGGAGGTAGGAATGGCTATCAAGGCTAAATGCCATTGAGATGCTGAACAGGATAAAGACAGAAAAGTGACCTTTGGTTTTGGGAACATAGAGTTCAGTAGATACCAAGCTAGATAAAAGTAAGTAATTTCAATATACTGAAAGAACTAGAAATCAGACTGGAGTGATTTGATGAGGTACTGGAAAAATAGAACATAAACAGATCTGTGATCATTACAGAAATTAAATCGGTAGTTTAAAAACCTACACTCTCCCCCTCAACAAACAAAAACCCACTATGCTTCTGCTAAGTTCTATCAGACCTTCAAGATCTAGATAATTTCTACCATATGAAAACTGTTTCAAAAAACAGAAAATAATGAAAAGACCCTCAATTTATTTTATGAGGCTGTTATAATACCACCATGTTTGGTCATATTATAACCAAAATCAGTCATGGATTTTATGAGAAAGAAAAGTTATAGGCCAGTTCATATTAGTTCACAGATGCAGACATTCTAAAAAATTAGCAAAGGAATCCAGTAATATAGGAAAAAATAATATATCATAACTGAGTATATCCCAGGAGGCAAAAATAGTTTAACATTCAAAAAGGTATTAATATTAATATATTAACACAATAAAGGAGAAAAAATATAGCATTATTTCAAAAGATTCAGAATAAACATTTGGTAAAATTCAAGATGTATACATTCATGATTAAAAACAACTCTTTGTGACCTGAGAATAGAAAGAAACTTCCTTTTTCTGATGAAGGATATCTACCCAAACCTGTAATAAATACAATACTTAATGGAGAAAACTTAGAAGCCTACTCTCTGAAGTCAAGAATATCCACTATCACTGCTCCTATTCCATAATAAAACATAATATGACAAGAAAAAGTATTAAAAGTTGTAAAAATAGAAAGAAACAACACCATCATTCACTAAACATATACACAGAAAATCCAAGTGAATGTCAGACAAACAATTGTAATTAATGTTAGCAAGGTTGCTGGATACACACTCAAAATACAAAAATCAGTGGTATTCTGTGTACCAGCCACAAAAAGTTGAATATTGTAATAAAAAAATTTATAACAGTGACCAACCTGTAAAGCTAAACAGGACAAAGTATCTAATAGAAGATAAGTAAGACCTCTATGAAAAAAAAATACAAAACTTCACCGAGGTATGTTAAAAAAAAGAGAAAGAAAATAAAGCGATATCATGTCCATAGTTAGGAAGACTCAATATCATAAAACTGTCAAATCACTCAAATAATATTCATAAGTTAAAAAAAGCCAAGAGTTTTGAAGAAGAACCTTAAGTTGTAGCTTCTCCCTATTAGATATCAAGAAAGTTGGGGGTATCTTCCTTTTCCCTTCCTATGAAGGAACATGGCCTAGGAGTTAACAGTCGTGGCTCTCTCCACCCTCTCACTCAGGCTCTCTCAGAAAAGGAGGGACTTTTGTGATTGGTGAATTTAGAGGGCAAAACAGAAGCTGGGTATTCCTGGCTCAGTCCTATCTGGGTTCCTGAAGAGGAGTCATCTGATCGTCTCTGCAGTGTAGTTAAGGGCCTGCCACTGCAGAGAAAGCCTGTGGTTCTCCAGTTCACATTTTGATTATAAGAGTAAGTTTAATTTTGAGTGATGACTTTGCAAACCCTTTTTTACAGATTTAAAGCCATATTTTCCAAGTGGCTTTATCAGTAAGAAAACCAACATTTTGATTTTTATTAGTCTGTCTCTTGTATCCCTTCTCTCAAATGGGTCCAAACATGGGGCAGGGGGTGGGAAGGGATGCTGTTTATAGGGCATTCTCAAACCTCAACAAGACTTACAGAAATTATGTCTCATAATAATTAAGAATGTGGTACTAGCCCAGGGGTGGACAAATAACACAATGAGCAGAATAGAGAGCATAGAAACAAACCCATGTATATAAAGGAACTTGGTACATAAAAGTGATGTCATTATCAATCAGTGGAGAAAAGATAGACTCTTCAATAAATGATACAGGGACAACTTGCTTTCCATACTGAGCAACATTAATTTAGTCATTAATCAAGTGGTGTTGTGGGTTGCCTCTTTTTTCATTATCTTAGGTTATTTTCTGTTTATGATAAAAAACTTTTCATGAGTTATATGCCTTGTTTCCAACTAGACCACGAATTTCTTGAGGGCAGTGCTCATATCCATTCTCATCCACAAATCAAAGTAAAGATCAATGATAGATGTAACTTTCTTATTGTCCTCAAGGCCTATCCTTATGGCATAGAAGAAAACGAAACCAATACTGTACCCCTCTCCCCACAAATAGATTTTCCATCTAACAGCTCATTTCATCCTCACAACAAACTGGTAAGATGAACAGGGGAGGGATTGTAGATGAGAAAATTAAGTTTCAGAGAGAAAGGACTTCAAGTTCATCCAGCAGATTAGAAAAAGATCTGAAATCAGAAGCCGGTGTCCTTACAAGAGACCATGCTGCTCCTGGTTGTCTAACTCTACAGGCCCAGTTACCATTCACATGATTTTGTAAGTTATTTCCCATCACCCAAGGATTCAAACTTCAAGAATTACTAGATGGCTGGAGCCAACAGCTTTCTATTTATTTAAGTCAACCTAATGTCTTCTTTGTATTAGACTTCTCTCCTCCCCTTCTGTTTTTAAAAGGGTCATGTCTATCCTGACAAGGCACTTTAAGTAGCAGCTTGCCCTTATGGTATGACAAGCACTGACATTAAATGTAAGAAACATTTTAGTATGTACCTCCTGGTGTCAGACTAGGTACTGACAAGCTGATCTATTTTTTGTCTGTTTTCCTCCCTTAACTCTCATAGCCACTGATCCTAATGTTCAGTCTATAGTCTTATTCTTTGCTTATTTTTTGGAAAAGTCCTAGGGGTTTCATGTCACCCTTCCATGAATCATACTGGCTGTCCTCCAGTATGTGCCTCGGCAATGAACTCAAGGATTCCTTGCCCAGCTAACTTCCCAATGTTCAAACAACAGCCCCTCGACCCACCCTCCCCCTGAGGATGATTCCTCCTCCTCAGCCAGACTGGGGCTTAGAGTTACCCAAGAATGTTGGCTGCCTTTCCTTTTCTTCAGATATCTCATTACAGAAGAAAACCCAGAAGGCAAGTGTGGAGCGACAAGGAAGTCAAAAAAGTTTTTCAGGATCATTATCTACATTACAGTTTCTGGTTATCAGAGATAAAGGTACTCACCACCTAACCATTAGTCCATGCTCCATGAAGTTTTTCAGGTTAGGAAGGGTTTGCCTCAAGTCTGGAGTCCCTAGTCCATGTTGATATCTTAGCTGCAAAGGTGGAAGAATAGAATTAAAAGAAATTTTGGCAGATTCTAGGCACTGCTTCAGAAAAATGAACCACTAAACAAGTTATGTTTTGAACTCATGAGGAAATGTAAATGTGTAATCCCAATATCAACTACACTGTTGAGATGGTATTTAAAAGCAGCCTCTTCATCTACTGTTCCCTTGCCCTCTAAACTTGGAGAGGATTAACAGTGACGAACTGTGGAATCGGGATATTTCAAAGACTCCCGTATCTAGTTTTCTTTTCTACTCCCAGACCCTGGCAGGGTTTGCTAACACCAACTTCAAGGACATACACCAGAAAACCAGTATTTCAGTTTAGATACTGGAGGAGTCCCTTCTTTCACCGGCCCTTCTCTCCGTATAAACCAGGGTAAGAATCACCTTGTATTCATCTCTGATTCCAACAGTGTCTGGCATAGTGCTGGTGCTCAGTTAATGCTTATTAAACAAATAAACAGCAAGTCACTTTCAATAGAGGTTGTGCTCTATGTTTCTCAAGTCCCTAACTCTCCTATTTGTCCAGAACCAGAGCATATAGCTGGAGAGCTAGAAGGAGGGAACCACTGGCTTGGGAGCTAGCTCTGCCCTTTGTTTGATTTATTTCTGCCCGAGGCCAATTTTCTAAAATTAATAAAATTATTTCTTCTGGATAACTTGCTAAATGGTTTTCATTTGTCTGTTCCTTACCTCCTTTTCACTCTGTCTCTGACTACCACCATTTGCTTCCTTAACTGAGTATAATGGAGCACCTTAGTGTAACTAAGGTAAGTGTATGTGCATTTCACATACATGCTCATTCATATATCAAATACATAGTAAGTGGACAACGCAGCCCTGCAAAAAGGTGTTTTCCAAATGACATAATATATATGGAGAACATTTATAAACTTTATAAACTGTACACTGGCATACAAATATGAAGGGGCATCAGTCTTAAGGTTTTACTTTTTCGGCACTTGAATTTGAAAACTGGCAAAGTCAAATTTTTTAATATTTTTCTCACAAAAAATAAATTCACTACCAACAAAAAAAGAGTAAGTTTTCTTTTGTTTGTATCTAGTATTCAATTGATATTTCTCTGAGTAAGTGACACTTAACAGAGAAAGAGTTCACTCTCATCGATACTGAACTTTTAAAGGAAAAACCCTAAATCTAACTGGGTGTCTTGAATGCTCTGAATGAATACACACATACAGTAAGGAGGTAGAAATATACAATGTTAAAACTAAAAAGTATCTTGAATACTATTTAAGCCAATTCTTTCTTTTTGCAGATGGGAAAACTGAAGCTCAGAAGGGGAAGTAAATTCTTTAGGGCCACATGGTTCAATGGCAAAGATATTATCAGCCAGGGTCTCCTTTTCACAAACTATGCTACTCCACCATCTACTCTAAAGTCTGAGAAGAAAATTGGTAACAGTACTTGAGAAGACAGAGGGAAAATGTTACTTTTCTTTTTCAAATCTAGCTTGGTGACCTAAATCACCTCCTGAGATTTGCTGACCTTGAATTATAAGACCTACCCCATATTAAATGACATCATTTCTTGTATTAATATAAAAGCATTTTTCCATACACTGATAAAAGCAAAATGGCTGATATCCCAATATGACATTCCTGAATTCATTGTTTCAATAAGAAAGTGAAATTGTTTACACATGGCGTGGAAATTTCACCTGTGATTCATACTGAAAAATATTATATATCAAAAAAACCATACCGAAATAACACTAAGCTATGTGTCTCTGAGCCAGTATATAGTCAATTGCCTGCCTCAGGCTCCACAATGGAAGGTGGGTGTTGAATTCTTTTCAGAGACCACAATGAAAATTTCTCTCCAAGTCTGATTTCAACCAAAAAAAGGAACATGTGGGAATTTCAAGCCTCCACCCAGGTCTTAACTCTTCATTTGCTGCATAGTACTCTTATTTTTTATCATAGAATCTTATGATTTTATAGCTTAAAGAGACCCTGGAGACAGATCATCTTTCTAACCTTCTTCCTTTTATAAATGAAGAAACTGAGGCTCAGAAAGGCAAGTGTCCTGCCCAAAGTCACAGAGCTGATAAGGGACAAAGCCAAGGCTAGAACCTCTTAATAACAGCTCCAAATTCTTTCTACCATATCACTCTTATAATTTTCAACATAGACACTCAATCTATGGCTTCCTTTCCACTTTCGCATGTTTCTTGTGCTTTGCAAGCTCTGGATTCTCTTTGCTCTTCTCCCTTAAAGGAACCTCAAGAAGGACTTATCCATATTTGCAGATGTAAAACCATTAAAAATCTTGATAGTGAAATTTTTGAATTATACCAGTGATACTTCTTCTCCCTTAAAGGAACCTCAAGAAGGACTTATCCATTTTTGCAGATGTAAAACCATTAAAAATCTTGATAGTGAAATTTTTGAATTATACCAGTGATACAACTAAAGGATGTCCAAGAAATGCTCTGGATTCTCTGGAGTTTGAATTTTTCCAGCAGTGGAACACCGAGGAGGACTGATCAGGCCTTCCCTTTCTAAAACCATGACCTGTTTTCAGGAATTAGTGACATTCAGGGATGTGGCCATAGACTTCTCTCAGCAGGAGTGGAAATACCTGTACCCTATTCAGAGGGATTTGTACAGGGATGTGATGTTGGAGAACTATAGGAACCTGGTCTCACTGGGACATTCCATTTTAAGCTAGATGTGGTTGGCTTATTGGAGCAAGGAAAAGAGCCCTGGAAAATTCTGAGGGAAGAAACATGGAAGATGGTACACAGATTTGGATTTATAGTATGAGATAATCAGTTATGTAGAAATGCCCACTTATGAAAAAGATGTATCTTTTACACAACATCAGAACATGCATAACAGAGTGAAACTCTATGAATGTAAGAAATGTCAGAAGAACTTTTGTAGTGATTATCAACTTACTCTACATCAAAGATTTCATACTGGACTTCCAATAAAGATGGCAGAATAGATGATACCCAGCGTCACCCTCTCCCACAATCAACCAATTTACCACTATTAAAAAGCAACGGACAGCCAAGCTGGGGCCACTAGAGCTCAGGAGAAGAGGAAGAGAGACTTACGGAGTACATGAAGGCAGAAGAAGTCACAATGAGAGAAATAAAGGACTACTCTGACCATTTCGAGTGCTGGCCATTTCAAGGCTGGCCCTGGTAACCACACAGAGCAAGAGCTGGGAAAAAGTTGCAGCTGTGCCCTTCGTATGGAGTTGCTTGGAGGCTGCAAGGGAGAAGAGGGCCTTGGTGGCCCCCAGGCCAGCAAGTTCACTAACAGGGTTCTTGTGGACCCATATAGGAGTGAGGGGCCACAGACAATAGAAAAAAGGAGCCACCCAGAGACCAGTGAGACACTTCAAGGGACCAGCGCATAGCCTGTCACATGGGAAGTGTCTGGAGTACGTGAGGTGGGCGGTCCACCAGGGGAACATTAGGGCACAGCATGGACAGCTGATCTGCCCTCCAATCAGTGCAGGACCACTCAGTGGAGACTGGTCGGAATATAGAACTGTAGGAGGTGCAGTTTGCTGAAAAGACACAGGCCCAGACCAGAGTTTCCACACAGCCCAGAGGTATCAGACCTCACAAGACCCAGAAATGCTTACAAGGTCAACAATTAAAACCTGAGCTGCACAAAAAGCCTTCCCCAGAGAATCAGCAGCAAATCAGCAATTTAGCTCAACTACAGAGCTTAAATGCTGGTTTCCACAGGAAGATTCCCCATTTTACAAGTAAGCAAAGGACAACAAATTAGTTTCAGTGCAGAGTTAAGTGGTGGGAATAGCAAATAATCCAACACAGAACTGAAAGAAAAAACAAAAAACCTACAGATCAGAGACAAAGTTCTGATATTAACCAGTAAAAGTCTAACACCACTAACGAACACCTATAAAACCCAGGAGGATCATAAGCCCCCCAGGTCCAAGCTGGGGCAGAAGGGGACCAAGGGCCTCAGCCATGCCCCCCCATGTCCGCATCCAGCTCAGCAACAACCACCAAGCTGCCACCAGAGGTGCACCCCAGGTTCCTGGGTTGGGGGGGAGCTGAGAGCCTCAGCCATGTCCCCCCAAAGCCCACATCCAACCAAGCCACAACCTAGTCGCCACTGGAAGCCCCCTGGGCTCCCCTGCTGTAATGAGGGGGTGCCACGGGCTTCAACCATGCCCCCCTTACCCTTCCCCCCACCCGATTCTCCTTTCTCCTTTCCCCCTCCCCCCAACTACTGCACAACATCTTAGAATGTAAAATAATAACACTGATAATAAATTAAAAAATTTTTTCAACATAGAGAACAAAAAAAGAAATGCATACATAATACATATACATTAATTTTTATTAATAAAGTACATATATTGTTTAACAAGTCTAAACTCCTATAAGGCTTATAATTAAAAAAAAAAAACAAAAATTATTATACCAAATAATCAATCAAGTCAATTTCCCCTCTTAGAGATATATTTCCTGAAGCCCCCTCTCTCTGCTCTAAACTGAACTGGCTATTAGCTAGGCATGCTGCATTGCTATCTTCTTAGAACTTTCCTTCATTATCATCCTAGAAATTGTGTTTACTTTTCTCCTGTGTCGAAGCTGTTGTTTCCTAGATCTCACGCCTTCTTCTTTCTTAATCTACTGCCTCATCCTGGTGGTATATCCTGTAATATCTTTCTGGGAAGGGAGAGCATGTGAGGTAACTTTTTTGACACCTCAAATCTTTGAAAATATCTTTATTCCATTCTTACACACAAATGACAGTTTGCCCAGGTACAGAATTCAAGGCTGAAAATAATTTTCCTTTAGTATTTCCAAAATATTGCTTCACTGTCACTTAATTTTGCATATGGCAATTGAGAAACCTGATAACATTCTGATTCCTGATCTATGTGAACTGACTCTTTTCTCTGGAAGCTTTTAGGATTTTCTTCTTTAACTTTAGTTTTTCTGGGTGTTTGGTGTGGGGGATGGTCAG